GACAAAGCTAGAATAAAATATAGAAGGAACTGCCAGTGCCGTTACTTCAATGCACTGAGCTTTCAGAGTGGATCAGCAAAAAGGTAGAAAGTTCAGGTGTTCCTGTAATTGTGATACATGGGGAAAATTCACACCGTTAAATGAGCCTTAAATTCTCATTTCTACCTGTGTGATACAGAAGCGCACTGTGGTATGCTCAGCTACAAGCGAAAAGATGCCAAAATAAGTATAGGAAGATGGAAGACTTGTGAGATCCTTCTGTCCCATGCTCCTCTGGTATTGAATCATAGAATCTGTACATTTATATCTGATATGATATTAATAGGGCCCATTTGTTACATGTTTTGGTTGAATAATTTTAAGAAGAGCCACAATTTTTATAAAAAAATCGTTTTTTAAATGTGATAAAGGTTCAATGTTTTGTGTGGGGTTTTTTCATGGAGAGATAGTTTAAAGCTTAAATATTCAAATTCAGTTCCCCATCCTAGGGACTAGAAGTCAGCAAAATGCTAAGATAATGATGCAGAACTAGAATAAGGGAAGCCATTTCCATGAAGGCTGGGACACAGGTCTTGGAAGAACAGCTTAGGATATTGCAGAAGACATAAAACTAAAGAAGATATCTGGTACCCTTTTACTGTGTAGATATAAAACAACAAGCTGAACAGCCATGTCTTAAATTAACTGCATTATATGAGCATTTGTTTCATGAAATTATTTACAAAAGGACATGCCATATCTAAATGTCTGTAAGAGAAATTCATCCTATTAATTGCAAACTTACTTTGTACTGAAAACCTTTGGTTCCACCGTAAATGTTTTTGTCAATGGAGACAAGATTGGAGAAAAATTTTCCATCTCCATAATAACAGTTTATACTGACCACACGATTGGAAATTAAGATTTCTAAGATCTTTACCTAGCATGTTTCTATTTCTACAAGTAGACAGTATTTATTCTTTTGGATCTCCATTCATCAATCTCAAAATGGAGACCAGATAGAAGGGGTATGTATCATGGATTTGCTTGTCTGCACTCTATTATAGAGAAACACTGGTCCACATTTAAAGATTTATTTAAAGAGAATTTAAATATAAACAGCTTCGTATGCACATGTGTATGTAATGGGCGAAAGGAAAAAGAAGGAAATGTCATGAATTTTCTTCTCATTTTTTCTACAAGGCATCACTTCTTCGGTATATTCTCCCTTAAGTGACACTCCTTTTCTCGGGGCCGTGCACTAAGAGCAAATGATGCCGCGTTTATAATATTCATGAAGGTTCTTTGGCGTTCCTCCCTGCTTAGCCGAAAAGTTACTATCGAAGCAACGTGTTGGCTGCTCATGCTGTGCAAAGGTCAAGTCCAAATGCTCAAGCGAAGCAGGAATTTGGGGCAAAGGTCGATGCTTTTATACGAGGGGCACCTGACCCCCTCAGGGGAGGCAAGAGCGGGCCAGGGAGGTGATGCTTTCCTTCTAGTCATCTATGCCCGACGCGTTCACTTCTAACCTGGAAGGGCCTGGCCTGTGCAAACCCTCTGGGGAGCGACTAATGTCATCATCCTTAGCGGCGCACTCTTGTTACGCATCTATACCAGTTTTGCCAAAAGCTCCCCATTGCTCCTTCTTTATTAAATAACAAATTGCGAGGGTCAGTTCTGCATCACCACTTCAATTTCCTCATGAAAAATTGCCCTTCTTCCTTTCGGGCCCGTAAGCACCCCGGCCAATACCGCTCACACCCTGTCATGTAACAAAAGGAAATAAAGGCACCTGACCGATAACCTGGCCTCGCCTGCGTGCTCTGGCCACCGCTGTGATCTGCGCAGCTCAGGCGACAGGCATCGTTTCCTTGTGTCCCTGTGAACACCAGCATGGGCAACTGGCTATGTCAGTCACCCAGCCCTAGCTCCTTGCCAAATCTGCTCGAGATTTGGCCAAATAACCTCACCGGCTTAAGGAACGACAAATGCCCGTGCTAAGAAAATTCTTACTGTCCCATTCAGTCTTACTGTCTTTTAACCCTATACACAAAAGACGGCTGGCCCGTGGGCACAGGATTTTACCTCGCGTGTCGAAGGTTGCTGAGCTCCTAGTTGCCCCTTGAAGGGCATCGCGGGTGCAGCAGCAGCCCGAGGCCTTCCCTACGGGCAGACACAGGAGCCCAGCTGCACTCGGCGCGTGTTCTGCGTGTGCTGATCCTGAATATGAGGGTCCTGCCCCTCAAACAGCTTCTGGGACCAGAGGCTGAGACCAGTCACAACTCTATCAGCCTTTTCCGTGATAGGAATTTTAGACAGGTTTGATGAAAATTTTGAGATTCACTGAACTGATGCATGTCAGCTGAGTGGGGAAAGGAACTGGGCGGTGTACGCACCGATCTGTCATCGATGGAGCTGAGGATCAGCTGGCACCGTGATCGTTTTTAGCGCAGCTCTTGCCTTCCTCTGCTCAAGTGCACCAGAGGAAGTGCCCATTTGCTGACTAGAAATTCACAGTCGAGGTCCACTGATGATGCAGGGCGAGGAGGCCTGTTCTGTTCCTCTGCTCACGAATGAGCCAAGCCGACCTTCACCTTTCCACAGCTCTGTATTTAATTATGCAGTATTTGGAAATAAAGTTCAGTCACAGTTCACTAATAATTTGTTCCCACCTAAGAGAGAGAAAAAGATTTATTAATCAGTAACACTCAAGTAAATAAATAAATAAGTAATAACTTTGTACCAGGTTGCAATGTAAAATGGAGCATTTATTTAAGGGAAAATTATAATAAACAAATAATAGCATAAATATGCTAAATTTTTAAAGGGTGTTTTTTTTTTTTGTTTTTTTTTTTTCTATTTCATCGTAAAACCTTAAGAAGTTACGGATGAACTTAAGCAAACAGGAAAGAAAAACATCCTGAACCCAAGGAAGGTACAGTAGCAACTTTCTTGAAAACAAAACAATCTTTCCATTCCTGCCATTTGTCTGAATTCTTCCTCCGGGCAAGCTGGACAGCTGCACTGGTAGGTTTTTTAGTCATGGATTGTAAGCCCCACCTGGCTAGATTTGTTTAGCAGACAGCTGGCAGAATTAAATAAAAAGAATGGGACACAAAATGCTTCCCCAAAAAAGCTGAGAGAATACTTTTTGGATGTTTTAGCCTTTTGGAGGTTTATGGTTTTCCAGTTTTTTTTCTCGCCTATATTCACATACTAGTATATGTGAATATATCTTGTGGATATTTTCTCTCAATTATAACACCACAAGTGAGGTAAAAATGCAGCATAAATGAAAACATCAAGTAAGCATGTCTTGAATGACTTTTCTTTTTTTTTAGTTAGAAATACCAATTTGCAGTTTATAGAAGTCCCCAAGAATGACATCAGTTTTAAATTAGCATTTTTTATTTCTACATTTTCTTTGCTATTTTTTAAAGCCAATAAAATAGATTTTCTTCATCTGGAATGTTCTTTCTAGCTTAAAGATAAGAAGGAGTCTAAATTGTGGGAATGGCATCCTTCTGCATCTGTTTCTCTCTCAAACCTATCAAATATCTAATTTTTGGCATGACTGCTGGCTCCGACAGGGGGATGACATAAACCAGCTTTGTGGTTACATGTTTCACTTTTAATCTCATGGAAATAAAAATCAGCACTGAAATGTCCCTTTACATGTGACAATTTGGGACTCTTTTTCCAAAAGCCCAAGCAGAGGGGCGTTGACCTGGTTAAGCTTAACACACAGCACATGCAGAAGTGTCCTGCATTTTTATGCTAAAAAGGAACAGGACAAACCTGACTCGTAGAGCTTTGTTCCCATAAGAAGTGGACTACAAACAATGGGAACTGTGTGACTCAGTGGCAGCAAGTTACCAAAGAATGACAGAAAACACATGCCAGGATCGGGAGATGAAGTTGCTCACTTAATAACTGCACCTCTTCTGTGTGTTTTATCTCTTTCTGTAAATGTGGTGGGATTACTGGAAAAGCTCAACCATCATGGGTTCACTACTCAGCACAGGGAGAATCCAGGATTTTCACTAAACACAGTAAATATAGTATGCAGGGCTCAAAAAACCCAAAATGGTTTGGACATGATCCTGATTGGAGGAACTCCATGAAAATAGATTCCAAGTGCTTATAAATGAGCAGAAAGGGGGGGGGGG